CACTCACACATAGTTACACAGTCTTGATTTTAGTGGTTTCTTCCTACATGCATATCTGTCCAACTCAGGGGCTTTTCTGCCAGTCACAGAATGAGTAAACCTGCAGTGTGTGTGTGTGTGTGTGTGTGTGTGTGTGTGTGTTTTTTTTAAAGCATGCATGTGGGAGATGCACGTAAAACTGCCCAGTACCTGATTTTAACAGTAATGAGAGTACTTGTCAGCCTGCCTACATGTGTCTGTCAGGATGTGAGTGTGTGATGGCTTATTCTGCCCCAATTTTCTCACATATGTGGCTGCAAGACAAAGGAAAGTACAGACTGATGAGCCTATTTCCCTATCTAGTCATATAGTTTGTGGGAAAGTTAAATAATTTATGAAAATAAATGCAAAAGAGATCAAAATTTACATCAAGCTTATTATTCAAAGGAAACTGGAGGACAGCCGTACTGCTTCAATATGAATTACCTGCTGAATTCACTATTCGGAGTTCTGGGTGACTTCTTACGTGCTATCAGCTCACTGAGATGAAACAAGCTGAATGGCTGCAAATAGATAAACAGTGCATTGTGTATTTGCAGCTTGAACATCAGAAACTGTTTTATAAACAACATTTTTCACACATAGTTTTGAGAGACATTGCTGACAGTGAAGCTGAGATAAGAAACACTGGAAACGTTGGAAACGTCGTTAAATATTTGTGAGCAGCCTGCAGCTTTGGCTGCTCTTTCCCGACTGCAAATATCAACAAATATTTACAAAGAAACGGCTTATTTAGACTTGTGAGGTTGATCTTTGTAGAGACCGCAGCGTAACCTGCTCAAGTACCCGACAGCATTGCCAGCATTAATGTTTGTGTTAATTATGTGTTAATTTCTTTGTAGTTATGTCCTGGTTTTTTGTATACAGTGTCAGCCAATATAGATGCAAATAAAAGGCCAGGACTTTTTTATGATGTGGATTTAATGCAGAAGTATGAATCTCCTGTAAAGGGGTGACATTGCGATCAACTCTACTGGTACCATATTTATAGGCTAACAGAAATGAAATGAAACTAAATAAATTTCCTATGTAGTTTTATTTTGTTGCAGTTTTCATTTTTCATGTTCTCATTTTATTGCTATTGTAAGACGAGCACGTGCAAGGCGAGTTGCAGATAAAAGTTTAAAAATGTTCCAGTGAAATCAGAGAATGTGGCTTCATAGTTTTCCATTTGTAGGCAGAAAACTATTCAATTGAAGTTAATTGTGTTAACTATAATTAACTTGGGAGTAGACGACTCTGAGTGTCGAAACATTTAAAAGAGCAAATAAAACCCTAAATTGGCATTTCAGCCAGTGCGTTCCTGTTTTTTACAGTCTGGTTATCTAAAGCTTGCTCAGCCATGACTAGTCAGTGCTACTCAGACTAGAAATAGAAACTATAAAGCTTCCAGTAACAAAGCATCTTGTCCGTTGGCTGCCAGTTCTTTAGATGTCTGTTTGTAGAGCTTAAAGAAGTAAACATTACTGCAGTGCACAGACATTTTACTTCATTTTTATTGAGGCAATGAGCCTATGTAGGCCCACACATAGGAAAATAAATACATAAATTATACATATGTAAAAATGTATGAGTATGCACATCCAAATGTATGTAATTTTTATATTGTATGTCTTTAATGACTCTTCCTGGACCTACACGTCCTTTCAGTTTAGTAATTATTTTTATTAATTAATGTTCTCGTTTTGAAAGTGAATATAAAGAAAGGCATATATTTGTGTGTTTCAGCTGCTGCTGGTGGTGTCAGAGCTCGTCGACCGTCAGGGCCTGACTGTCCTGGTGCTGGGAAGGAAACACATGCTGCGACCCTCCAGATCCTGGGACAGGCACAACATGAACCTCATCCAGCAGAAGGCCCACTGTTTCTTTACCGACAATATGTGAGTATCTTATGATAATAATAATGATAAGGATAATATAAAAAGAACAGCATGAAATATGTTCCATTGGATAGACAAGAAACCAGTACTGGGAATGTTCCTGTTTACTAGTTACTCTGTAAAACGGTAATCAGTAACTATTTTTACTGCTTCATGAAAGTAATCTGTTGCATAATCTGTTTGTTTCACTGGAGCGCTACCTTCAGCGTGCGCTGGGTGGTTAGCAGCCGGGATGAAAACGGTCGATTGCTCCTTCTGGTTTTGGGGGGAGAGTTTGTGCCTCAAATGAGTTGAGGTGTCTCGGGATCTTTATTCACAATGATGCGAAGGTGGATTATAAGGTCGGCTGGCAGATGTAGAGTCAGCAGAAATGTGGGCATTGTGTCAGACTGTCAGGGTAGAAGGAGAGAGGAAGTTTTATCCCTACAATGCCTGCCAGGCTTGGAGATCAGAGGGAAGCCTGGAGTAGTGCTGCTGCTCCTTTGTGTTAATAGGAACCAGTTGAGGTGGAGGTTTTTTTCCAGCACATCCAACTGGAAGGATATCCAGACCTGGGAAGATCCCAGGAGGATCTGGAAAGCATTGCTGGGGAAACAGACAATTGTTGTATGATGGAAAATTGTTTTAAAAAACATCTTTACGGACTGTAGATGTTTCATTAGCTTTCCTTTGTTATGTTAGAGCAACATTGCATATTTAGCACTGAGAGTTGTTGCTTTCGGCTGGTCTCAGACTCGCTAGTAGCAAGATTCACTGATTCACACACAGATGTAGAAATGGCTCCTTGAATACCATCTTCTCAAACTATCTTGCTGACCTTCTTTGTCCTGGAATAGGCCAAAGCGGGACATTCCTGCATGGTGAATAGATGCAGACCAACAGAGTTTTTACATTTAAGCTTAAGTGATGCCTGTCTTGGCTTGAAGACATTGTCTCAACAAGCACTGTGCAAACCTACAATGCAATCTGTATATACAGCCACAGCTTGTGGCTGTATAGACATAAATGCGTCATCCTGAGTCTCCTCCTCGGTATCCTGCTGCCACGCAGGAGGAAAAGAGGAAGACCACAGAGAAAATTCATGATTGTAGTGAAGGAGGACATACAGAGGGTTGGTGTGATAGAAGAGGGTGTTATCGGTAGGGTGAGCTAGAGGAAAGTCATCTGCTGTGGCGATCCCTAAAGGGTGCAGCTGTAAATATAAATAGGTTGTGTTAGAGACAGGGTGAGAAGCTGGGTCATTTGGGAGGGGCTCAGAGTAGACTCTGGAGAGAATTCAGCAGTGGTGGTTCAGCATTTGACTAGGATGGCTCATAGATGAGATGTTTTGGGCCTGTCCCAGTGGGAGGAGACCTCAGGGCACAACCAGCTCACTCTGGAGAGATTACATCTGTTGGCTGGGTTGATAACACCTTGGTGTCCCTCCAAAAGAGATGGAGGAGGTGGCTGAAGAGAGGGAGCCCTGGGTTACTATTCTTGACCCGAATAAGCAGCAGAAAATGGATAAATGTAATGTAACACCTTAGAAATGTATTTGTTTTGTGATGTGTTTATGTTGATGTAATACCTGCCTGTTTAAAAGGCAGCACACAAGCTAAAAAAAAAAAGAAAAAAGAAAAAAAAGATGTCATTAAAAATCATCCAGATCAAAAGATCCTCTTTAAATGTGTTTGTGGGTGCTGCAACACAATCTGGGTGGCTGACATATACAGGAAACCATAACACAGACTATGAATTCAGATGTAGAGCTCTGCTTATTTTCTGCATTTTGTGCTTTTCAGTTCAGAGGATGACCCCTTCCTGTTGTACGCTACTTTGCACTCTGGGAACCACTGTCGGTTTGTGAGCAGGGACCTGATGAGGGATCACAAGGCCTGCCTGCCAGATGGAGCCACCAGGCGGCTCTTCTTCAAGTGGCAGAGAGGGCACCAGCTGGTGGTGGACGGGCACGTCACAGCGGGCAGGAGGGTCCGATTTCAGGTGGAGAATGAGACCATGAGAAGAGAGGGTCAAGGCTCAAAGAAGGAAGCATCACAAAATTAACTCTGTTTTCATTTGTGTGTTTTCCCAGAGTATTCCCAGCTATGACACCATTGTCCAAACCTCAGGAAGAAACTCATGGCACATCCCTTATGATGACACAGAGGACAGGAGCACCTATGAAGTACCACAACACTGGCTGTGTCTCAATAAAAAGCTCTGAAGACTGTCTTTTTTTACAGTTTGGAATATAAAAAAAATGCTGGTACTGAAGACTTTTAATAAAACTGTGGGCCTGTAAATAAACATTTATCGTCACTGCAGTGTCTGTACTGTTTTAATCATATTTCAATTTAATATACTTACATATTAGGTACAGCCAGATCCATGATATTTGAACAAGATGTACAACAAATGTAATTTTTCAAATTTTGGCTATGTGCATCCACTAACATTGGACTTGATTGAAGTGTAGACTTATTACATTAACTGCTTAGGAATTACAGCTATTTGTATACACAGTCCCCCATTCACAGAAATACAATAAATAAATATCTCATATCCTGCTTGGAACAATTTGGTTTTTACTCAGAATATAAACCAAATACAAAAACTCAAACATTTTCTTTTAAAATATTAACCAGAAGAAAAAAAAATCTAAGGAAGTACAACTTTAATTGTGCAGCACAAGTTTGAATATAAGTTGAATTTTCTCAAGTTTCCAGAATCTATTCATATACACAATCTCTCGGGAAACATTCCTTCTTAAAGGTCAAACGGGAAAAGAAAGCAAATCTAACACTAACAGATAAGGATTGGTTAAATCTTCATCTGTAGCCGGTGAAAAGGCCTTTTAGGAAAGAACTTTTAGGTTTTGTCTTTACTCCAAAAAGGAAATTGCACAAACGTCATATTCTGTAATTGTCAAGAAATATAGTTTTATTGCTCCGAGATAGTAAAAGACATTAAAATAATATTAGTTTGTGATATTGAGTAAAGTTTTGATATTGTATACTTACGAATACACCACCTGATTGAACTACTCCTCGTTACAAATAAAAAACTACAGACAGTTGACCCGGATATGAAAGCTCTCGTCTGCTTCCGGTGCAGAATCGTGCCATGTTTTGCTTCTGTTTTTAACTCAGTTTAGTTTCAGATTCGGTCTAGACCACTTTACCTCAATTATTTCCTGCCGTCATGTCCCGGGGGTCGAGTGCGGGGTTTGACCGGCACATCACCATCTTCTCCCCGGAGGGAAGGCTCTACCAAGTCGGTCAGTAATAAGAGAACCGAACAGAACCTTAACCTGCTCTGTCATCACTGCCTGCTAGCAGGCTAACAGCAGCTATTCACAAATCTCAAGGCTGATTAAATATGTCACCACAGGGCAGTGTGGCAAGAAAATAGCTATTATGAAAATTAATTAAATGTATTGAGGCAGTTTATCCGACTTAACGGAGCAATTAATGAGTCATATCATTAAAGCAAAACATTTCAGGTAGCTGCAATTACAGACTAGTAAAAGCTAGCTAATAATGTATAAAGGAGACTAAATTAAACGTTAGTTCTAGCTTAAGGTCCATACGGCCGGCAGGACCACGCATGCGCTTGTTTTTAATTGAGTATTGTTTTTATTCTAACAGCATCTCTAAACTTCTTAACCTCTGTATCTATGAAGCGCCTTGAGGCGACTTTTGTTGTGATTTGGCGCTATATAAATAAAATTGAATTGAATTGAATTGAATTAAAGCAGGGGAGTCTAAAATGCAGCATGCATTAATGTGCATTAGTCATTTTTTGTTCTTTTGCAGATCCACATCTCACCCTGTCGCTAGCATCCTACTCTGTCACACCAGATCTCTGCATGTCTTCTGTCACTGCATCCATGAATCCTCTCTGAGGTCTTCCTCTTTTCCTCCTGCCTGCTAGCTCCATCTTCAGCATCCTTTGCCCAATGTATCCACTATCTCGCCTCTGTACATGTCCAAACCATCTTAGCATTGCCTCTCTAACTTTGTCGCTAAACCACAGTCTGAGCTGTCCCTCTGATGTACTCATTTTTAATCTTCTGGGATGAAAATATGAGCATCTCCAGCTCTGCCACCTCCAGATTGGCCCATTTTTCAGTGCCACGTCTCCAAATTATACATCACAGCCAGATAACAAAAAATTCAACAAATAACTGTAGTTTGGAAACTGAACTACAAGAACTTGAAAACAAAATTTCAAGTTAATAGAAAGAAAAACACAAAATCATAATAACTCTAATAAATTATAATGCTTTAATTTGTGTATCTATTTAAAGGGTAAGTGAAACAAGGAAACTCTGTAAGCAAATGTAAAGAACTGAATAGCATATAACAAATAGTTTCCTCATATTCTATTCGAGTTATAATTGCTTTCAGTTCAATCATGAAGATATGGAAATATTTTGTCAAAAGAATCTGACAGCGATCTGTTAGCACTGAAGAAAGAGAAGAAGCTAAATGAAAAAGAAAATAAGTAAAAGGTGCCTTTCTTTATCAGCACCTCAAAGAGTGATGTATTTGTGACACCAGGAAGTGAAATTTACAGGTCATTAACAATCATCATCAATTTACTGATAAGTAGCTAGTTTGTTACTTTTTTTAAATGTTCAGTCATGACGTTTGTGTACATTTCATTTTGCCTGCCTCTCTTCACTCTTCAGAGTATGCCTTTAAAGCGATAAACCAGGGCGGATTGACCTCTGTGGCCGTCAGAGGGAAGGACTGTGCTGTAGTCGTGACGCAGAAGAAAGTTCCTGTGAGTTTGCGTTTATTTCACATTCGTGTGATCCGATTCCTAAAACGACATTTTGATTGGTGTATCGACGGTGGCCCGTGTGGCGAGTTCATCTGTTAGGGGCGCCTTTCTTTGTGTCTTCCTCAGGACAAGCTCCTGGATGCTGCGACAGTCACACACCTGTTCAAAATCACAGAGAACATAGGATGTGTTATGACCGGCATGACTGGTAAGCCACAGGAAGCTTATTATCTACTCTTTATATGGGGGACAATGTTAAGCTTTTTTCTCCAGTCTTCTTTGTTGTTTTTGCATAAAATAATAAGAAAATGGGCTGATTTGGCCCTGATGCAGCCTCCAGTGTATTAGCAGAGTTGTGATTTGGAGTTAAGGTAACAGATATACTCTATATTGCCAAAAGTATTCATTCACCCATTTGAAATCAAGGAATCCAGGTGTTCCGATCACTTCTATGACCACAGGTGTAAAAAATCTAGCCATGCAGACTGCTTCTGCAAACATTTGTGAAAGAATGAATCGCTCTCAGGAGCTAGTCTTGGCAATATAGTGTAACTGAAGTTGCAATATACTTTCCTCGTGATGTTGCAGCTGTACATTTTAGTTATCCTCTTCTTTCCTGCAGACTATTCAGAGTTGCTGAGTTACAAATTAAACTTCAAATAATGCAAGCTTTTTCAGTGGCATGCGGCTAAGCTTGCAGAAGAACACCAAGACATTTCCAGAAACTGCACATAAACACTTGCTTGAAATTTGACAGAGTGTATAAAAAAAAGTGTTTTTTCAGTCGACAATAAAGGTTGTAGAACAAAGAAGAGCAGATTTAAGTACAGGAAAAAGACAAGACAAACAGCGCTGTATGTGAGTAAAGAGATGAGGGTCATGTGAAGCTTACATCTGTTTCTGTTTGTGGGTTTTATATAAGAAGCGGCAGTGTTTAATATGAAAACTCAGGTCTGTCATTAAAGTGGCAGATTTAGCCACACACACGTATATTCATCAATAATCTGTGGCAGGTTTATGGTTTATATTTAAAAAAATTTTAAGATGAAACTGCACACAAGCTCGTAAGGACTGAGCACTAATAGAATAATAACATAACAGTGGGTAAAAGTCGCATGATGAAATCACACACTAAAGTACAAATGAATGGAAAAAATAATGAAACTGATTATTCCTGGTAAGCAGTGTCTCATCTGACTTATGTTCCACAGCAGATGCTTGTACTTGAAAAACTGCTGATATATGCAATTAAAAACCACAAAGGTTGTACTGCTTCTTCTCCTGCTCCAGCACATCCTGGAGATTCCCAGTCTCGGGGCTGATGAAAGCTTTAAGAGTAACATATTAAGACAACAAGTTAATGTCAGTCTCTGCCTGCATAAAGGTTGATTTCATCTAATCATGAATCGGCAGTGGCACAGCTGGATGTGTACCTACCCAGAAAAACAATCAACAACACTGTGATCGATCTGCTTGGTAGTAAACGTGCTGTGTAAACACAGAAAATTAGACAAATTAAAGATGCTTTATTGATCCCACAAGAACAGAAATTCAAATAGTGTAATAAAAACAGCATGGTTAGAAGTATGCAAGCCCATAATGAAGGCATTATTATGTTAGGTAGCACAAAATTGTATATACAACAGTTATCCATCCATCTTCTTCCACTTATCCAATTCGCAGAGAGGGCCTGGAGCCTATCCTAGCGAGAAGTACATCCTGGTCAGGGCGCCAGTCTGTTACAAAGCTCACACAGAGTGACAACCATTCACACTCACATTCAAATCTAGGGGCAAATTAGAACTACCAGTTCACCTTATCCATGTAACTCCAAAGACTGGTAGATGGTCAACCTTTTGCCGCACACTAAACGATCTGAGCTTCCTCAGAAAGTAGAATCTGCTCATCCCCTTCTTGTACACAGCATCATTGTTGGTCCTCCAGTACAGTCTGTCACTCAAGTTTGCACCAAAGTACCTGTAGCTGTCCACATGATGTTAATGATGTTAAGTCAACCCACATCTCTTTTGTGTTGCTGACATTCAGGAGGAGGATTGACGTCTCTGGCTATAATATTATTAACTGTAATGCAATAATAGCACTGTAGACATGGCATTTTCTCTTTTTCAAAGCTCTAACAGTCCATGTAAGAACTCAGCCAGGAATATGCTCGAACACACAAGTGTAAGTGCCCACTACGGCGTAGCTCTGTGTTGATTCAACGAAGCTAAGCTGGAAAATAACTATCCTGTAACCTTAAACAGAGGTGGTAGAAGAACTCTTAATCAGAAGGTCCAGAAAGTCCCCACCATGCAGTACTCCCCTAATAACTATTCCTAGTAAGCAATGTCTCATCTGACTCCTCTCATGATCCACAACAAACCCTAGTATTGGAAAAACAATGCTGATATATACAATTAAACTAAGCTTCCTGTTAAGACACCTAGCTCTCAAAAAGGTTGGCAGAAAGCTACCTCTAAGAGCCTGCTACCACTTCTAATGAGACCAACTTACCATACCTAACTTACCATATCATACCAGCTGTTAATGTTTTAAAAAAAGTCAAAGCACTTAAATAATTCTGGCCTCCAGCCTGCCCAAGTTACAGCTTCATGTGACCAGACTGATCCTGGGTGAGCCCTAAATTTTTACAGAGGGAGACCACATGAGCTGTAACTAAAAATGTTTATATTACACAACTAAACAGAACTGAAACACAAATGAACGTAGTCGGATCTCCTGCAGGGAAATGCCTGACCCGAGGGCCGTATCACTTCAAAGTAATTCATTTATTAAAATGAGCCCGTGTCCCATTAGTAAGAGTGCAAATGTTTTAAATGGCAGTTTAAAGTGATGTAAGCTGCTTTGTGGTTGTCTTGTGCTCTTTTGTGTGACATGATTTTCTTTCCCTTCCTTCTGTCCAGCTGACGGCAGGTCTCAGGTGCAGCGCGCACGGTACGAGGCGGCTAACTGGATGTACAAGTACGGCTACGAGGTGCCCGTGGACATGCTGTGCAAACGCATGGCCGACATCTCCCAGGTTTACACCCAGAACGCGGAGATGAGACCGCTAGGCTGCTGTACGTAATGTGTGTTAGTGTGTGTGTGTGTTTGCATTTTGATATCACTCCATGTATTAAAACTGAAATTGAAACTTTTTTCAGAGCATTTTCTTAATGTCTGCAAGCTTCAGTTTACACAATATCTTTGAAATCTGATGCAGAAAGTTGTTAAATTTAGTCTTTTTTTTGCGTGTCTAAAAATGTGGTGTGCAATGAGCATATATGACTTCTTTCTTTTCTTTTTTGTGCTCTCCTGTTTTCATTCCACCCTGCAGGTATGATAGTGATCGGGATTGATGAGGAGTTGGGCCCACAGCTGTTCAAGTGCGATCCAGCCGGCTACTACTGCGGCTTCAAGGCCACGGCAGCCGGAGTGAAACAGACAGAGGCCACTAGTTTCCTGGAGAAGAAAGTGAAGAAGAAGCTGGACTGGACTTATGAGCAGACTATAGAGGTAAAATACACCAGAATACACAAAAGAATTCCATATTCTTTTCTGTTGCACTGGAATTTTGTCCAAAAACGGCCCGGTAACGATGAACGCTGCAGGGCGTTTCCACTCTATGGAGCTTCGGGAATGTTGGGGATTTTACAGGATACTTTCTGGACAGCCGAGTAAGGGGAGTTAGGTGATTTTTATTGACGTATCAGGAAATGTGTGTCAATTTTATAGCTGTGACTATGTGGGGTAATTTCAGTGAATTGCTTGGTGTTTTCCAAGCCAGTTGACATTAGGGAAGGTTGTTGATTTTTGGAAAAAAAATTTCAAACAAGCCCTGTTGGAATTAGAAATCAGTCTCTGAATGGTTTCCTATGGTCTCTGAATAAAAAAGATACTGACTTATTGAAACCCTCTTTAATATGGTAGAGTATATATATCAGAGGTGGGTACATAAGAAACTGGGACTGTTGTCTTCCATTAGCTGAACTCAGTTGCCCACCCCTCGTATGTATGTATAATGAACGCATATATAATAACTTTTTTTCTTTTACTTTAATTTTCTGTATCATGTTTAAATATGAAGTTCTCCCCTTTGTCTCCAAACAGACGGCTATCTCATGCCTGTCTACTGTTCTGTCCATCGACTTCAAGCCCTCGGAGCTAGAGATCGGAGTCATCACGGCACAAGAGCCCAAATTCAAGTGAGTGTTTTTCTGAAACAAAGCTTCTCGATAGCTTTGAGTAAGAACGTGATCTTGAGTCAGCCACTGCATCAAATTAGTTTTGCAGAACGAAGCAGGCCGTTGCTGATTAAAAAGTTGAAAGCGTTAAAACGCCGGTAATGTGTCGGCTGTGTTGTGTTATTGCTAAATAATTTGAGAAAAAGAGGCCGGTGTTGTAATGGAAATTCCCTAAAACTAAAAACAGCCAGAGGTTGAGATCAAAGCAAGGGCTTACATGTGGAGCTTGTTCTCGATACATCCGTATGTGTGTGTGTGTGTTGGCAGAATTAACTGTGCGTTTGTGTTCCAGGATTCTGTCAGAGGCCGAGATCGATGCTCACCTGATGACTTTGTCTGAGCGGGAGTGAAGAACGGAGGATAAACAGTAAAAAGCATCAACACACAAAATGTCTCAGCTGGAAGGAAGATGAAGGAGGAGCTGGTATCATCTTCTTCAAAAAGAGATGAACAGTAACAGATAACCCCGCCCCCACCCCTCCATGCTATCTGGTCACAAACAGGACATGATATTATCCGCGTACCCAAACCTTCGCCCCCTCCTGTGTTTTCCTTCTGCAGCCAGCTGCTAAATGTCTCAGATCGTGGACGGGACATTCAGATCAGTCCCTGACGTGACACATAAAGTGTGACGTGGCAGCTGATGTGACGGACGGCCGCAGCGCAGCAGCTCAGCCTGAATGACTTCACCTAATGAGTGTGACATGAGCAGATTGGAAGGTGGAGGTGTGGTAACACTACAACTTACAGCACAATACCTCTTAAATGTGGACTCAGTGGTCCTGTAGCTTCACTGTGCTCGGCAGTGCTTCCTGACCATCTTTTCTCAGGGCTACCACTTACATATGTGTCTCTCTTCTTCAGTGTTTAAGCTTTCCCCTCCGCACTGTCTTCAGTTTCAGGATGAAGTTCATGCTCTGTACTCGATGATAACCCAGGGAACAGCTGTGGGAATTCTCCTACAGCAGCAGGTCATTGTCACACCCCTGTTTAAATCTGCTCAGGTCACTAGAAAGCTGGTGTTTTGATCTACCTGCCCTTCTGCTGCAGCTGCTGTACATTTCCACACTTCTATTAAACACACTTTTTATTTAACACAGGTGTTTGATTCTCTGCGCACATTCATTCCTGTCTGACGGCTCTTAGCTCTCTCGAAATTACTCCACAGAGTGTACAAGTGAGAATGCAAATGTCTGAACAGTCAGCTTCCACAGTAAATGATCTTTACTATGCCTGCTTCCTGATACAAAGCGAGTATCATGTACCTATGAAGGAATAGCACAGTTTGTTTACACCCAGTGAGACCTGCACCTAATGCAAATGATTATTGTGCTGCATTCTGTTTAGCATTAATTTGATCGTTTCGCCTAACAACACATCTTCTTTGAAAATGTATTGAATCCACTATTTTCTCACGTCTGGGAGAAATTATTTTAAATAATCACGATCTCTGTGTTTAACAAGATAATTGGGATTTTTGCCCCAATTGAGCCGACTTTTGCTGTTTATTTCCAGTACTGGAAACGCTCCTGCCACGGTCAATCGCTTTGTAAGTAAGTAAGTAAGTAAACTTTATTTATTAAGCGCTTTTCGCAGACAGACAATCACAAAGCGCTGTACACAAATATTACAATAAACAGTAAAATCAATAAACATTATATACAATGTAAAAGATCAAATATAAATAATGTAAAAATATAAAATATGTAGATCAACGAAAGGCTTGTTTGAACAGAAGGGTTTTTAACTGTTTTTTGAAAGAATCCACAGAGTCAAGCAAACGTAATTGTAGTGGCAAACTGTTCCACAGCCTTGGTGCAACAGACTGAAAGGCTCTGTCCCCTTTTGTCTTCAGTCGTGTACGGGGAACAACTAAGAGACTCTGAGTCTGTGAGCGAAGATGACGAGCAGCAGTGTATTTTATAAGAAGCTTGGATAAGTAATCTGGAGCCTGGCCATTTAGTGCTCTGTATGTTAAAACAAGAATTTTAAAGTGAATTCTAAACTCTATTGGGAGCCAATGTAAAGAATATAAGATAGGAGTAATGTGAACACGCTTGGTAGAGCAAGTCATTAATCTGGCTGCTGCGTTTTGTATGGCTTGGAGGCGAGAAAGAGATGATTTATCCAAGCTAGTAAACAGGGGATGACAGTAGTCTAATCGTGATGACACAAAAGTGTAAATCCCTTTGCACATATCGCGACCTATGTGCCCACTCAGCAGCGCCATTAGACCGAGTACCCTCACGCTTACAATGCCCACTGCTGTCTGTGCGTTAAGTCTCGTGATCAGCCTTTTGTGGGTACAAAGTAAACAAGCACTGAGGCACCGTTTACTCTAGTTAGGCCAAAAATGGAGCAAAGTTCAGGCAAAAGAACACGTGAGATGATCCATAGTCGTTAATATGTTACTGCGTGGTCTGGTTACTTGCTTTTAAAAAGTGCAGAGCCTAAGCTTGACGTCCACACTGAAACCTTTCTTTCTCTTTACTTTTCTGAAGCGTTCAAGCATCTGTAAGGTGTACCACGCAACGTGAAACACAATATTATACTTTGTGCTCCAAGCCAATTATTTAAAAGCTATGGTTAGTGTTTTAAACATAAATCTGCTGATACTTTATGCCGTGTGATTACAGATGAGGCTACCCAGCAGAATACCAGTCCATAAAATCAACATTACTACTTTTACTCGAAGTGTACATGGTGAGTAATACTCACCATGCATTTTTCATTTGATTGTAGCTATTGATTCATTAATATGCCTATCACTTTAATATTGATTTTAAAGCGTTGTCTGCTGTTGAGTAGATGTACAGTACATTAAAACTGTACTGGTCCAATTCATTGGACACATCTACCCTGTTTCTGTTTCCAGATTTATCCTGCGCTCAATGAGGCTTTTGTCTTTTTAAGAACAGCTCATTCAGTCGTTTTGATGCTAAAATGTTTGTCCTGTTGCGTAAGAATGTGACTTATAGCCTAAATACCCTTTTTTTTATATCTCTTAGCAGAAGACTTATTCAGTAGAAAACAATTAAACTCTTGTGCAGCATCATTCTTCATGTAATGCTTGTGTATTAAGGTGCAGGGCTGCCCTCTGACGCAGTATTCTGATTTGTTGCAGGCTCCGTGGCCATCTCCTTTAATTAAAGTCCTGGGTTGCCTTGTGGACCAAGGTTTACTATAAACAGTCATGACATTAACTTTAGTTCATTTTTTCTTTTGCGTAAGGGAGGGGAAAATATTTCATGTCTGCTAAAGTATTAAAATGTAAGGTTTAAACACAATTCTGCAGTAATTTAATGACAGTGGATATTTATTTTACATGCAGCTCCCTTCCTTCCCAACTTCTGTCACTTGACTTCGGCATCCTGTTGTTCCTGTTCTTCGGAAGGTGAATGACAAGCAGGAATGTCGCCAATAGCTGAATTGTTCCGTTCCTGGGAATTTCCTGTCCCTTCCCTCTTAGCCACACCCTCCAGAAAAACTTCCTGATTTAAATGACAGGGCAATTGACCTCATTACACACACAGAAAAATTCCCGAAGCCTCTTATCTCTACAAACACACACATTTAAAAGGAGGAATTCGCAGCTCAATTGACTACCAGTTCCTCATTCAGTGGAAAGGAGTTATCAGCGCTTTCCTGTATTATATGAAAATCAGAAAGGGGAAAAAAGAAGTGTCCGGTCAGGAGTGAAGTTGAGCTGTCATGCTTTGATGGGAGCGTTTATACGAGCAGACTCAGTGACGGCAGCAGGAGGCCACGTGGTTACGTTCATTTCCCGTGTAATTGCAGGTTTTTATTGCCGTCAGGCGCTGCCGATTACGATTACACGCCGGATACGACTACTTCTGATGTCTCGTGTTCACGTGTAAAACTATTCCCATCCCAACAAATAACACGGTCACACAGGAGGCTTTCACTGTTAAATATGAGTGTTTTAATTTAATGGAGTGTGCTGAACCCATTTGCTGTCTCACATATACAACCTGCTCAACTGTACACATTCACAGCTTCCATAAAAAATACATCTTTGTATACACAGCATTTACACTATCATACAGCAGAGCTGCTGGAGGAACATCTTCACGTATGTATGGACGTCCACAGAATACAAGCGATCCATCCCGTTATTATGTGTCACATGTGATCATGCATTCGCCGGCAGTCTGTTTAATTCTTCCTGCTCAGCTGCCTGGAAGCGGTCATGTCACCTCGCTGCATCGCCCGACCCCATCGTTGTCATCCACGTCATAGCAGAAGTATGGAACGTGCCGGGCCCCCCTATCCGTCCATCCTTCACCGTCACAGCCTCTGGTCTCTGTAACTTCCCCCGCCCTCTCGCTTCCTGCTAATGTCCATTCCACTGAATGTCATCGTAATTCACCTGCAGACACATGGGAGGAAATAGAAATGGTCACACACCAACTAATGACACACTTCATTTGTGCCAGACCGGCGCTACAATTTTGAAACGTACCTCATCGTCAGAGCTCATGTGCTCCTCTTCGTCACTGTCGTCTGACTCGCTGTCTGGCAGCTCTCTCAGGTCAGGATGGGTCACAGAGTACAGCTCTTTGTTGATTTCCCAGTTATCCAAACCAATGGTGAGGTGATAGGGGCTGTGGCCCCCGAAGCTCAGGAGGTTTGGGTTCGCTCCTTTTTTCAGCAGCAGTTTGACCAATAGGAGGTTCTGCTGGTCCACAGCCAGGTGGAGCGCGCTGCGACCGTTATGCTGCTCCTGTAAAACAGCAAGTAGGCAAAGGCATTAGTATTAACAAAGAGACTAACAAAGATTAACAAAGAATTTTTTTTATTTTTTTCCATACAGAAGAGGTGTAAGTTACCTTTGCATCAATGTCAGCTCCCAGATCTACCAGTCTCTCCACCAGTGAGAGGAAACCCTGCACTGAAGCCAGGTGGAGGCAGTTTTGACCTGCACAACACAGAAAAGGAAAAGAAAAATTAAAAGTTGATTCCAGAGCGAGACTGCAACAGAAATATTCTTTCCATATTCCTTTGTTATTCTTAGTAATTAGCAAAAACTGCTGGGTGTGGGTTGTGAAACACATGCATTCATATCAATGTCCTTTTTTTGGATTTGATTTACTGCCTTTTTTAACCCCCCAAAAATACTGAGTATGCACGGCAGTGCTTAACGGAAAAATGTTTACACAAAAGTCTTAAAGAGAGGTGTCCACCTTTTTTATTTAGACGTTAACTACTGCATAATAGATGGGGTTAAGCTCCTCTTGGTCACTTAACTGCAGTCTTCGGGGCTAACTAACAGCAAGCATCACTTACCGTTATAGTTGCAGGCAGCCATCGCCGTGTGTAGGTGCTCTGGTCGGCTTTTCTGTGTGATGACGCTGAAGCAGTGCAGGTTACCGTGGTGACAGGCAATGTGGAGAGGCGTGTCTCCATTGTTGTCCACCAGCGTGGGGTCACAGCCGGACACCAGGAGGTTGAGACACACCTCCGGCTGTTTTGTTATTACCGCCAGGTGAAGAGGAGTCTGGAGAGGGACAGGTATTTTAGTAATGTCATGATGGCGGATGCAGGTGGGGGTGGGGTGTTAAGAGCTGTGTTGTGCATACCTGTCTCAGGTCATTCTGTCTGTTGAGGAAGTCTGTGTTTTTAGACTGGTCGATCATGGTTTTGATGAATTCTTTGGCCTCATGGATGATTGCCAAGTGGAGCAGCCTGCAGAGACATAAAACAAAACAATTTAAGTAACAAAGCAAAGATTAAAGCAAATTTTACACAACTTCGTGCCTTTTTCGTCTACATCAGATACAGTTACAAAAAAAGTACTAACTATGAAGAAAACACTAATTTTTTTTTCATAAATATTTGTAATAATAAATTTACAAGGAAAAAAAACTTATTTTACACCTAAAGAGAGTAACTTCCTGTGATTACAGTAAAATTGTGTAACTGTAAAACTTAAATGATTGATGTAACAGCTTCAGTTCAGAAGCGTCCCTTTGTTCTCTAACTTGGCTTTTATGCTTTTGTTTGAATTGGTGTAAAATACTATAGTGCTGCATAGAGAGTTACATTTGTTACACAAAAAAAGAAAATGCACTCACTC